TAGGAAACTCTTAGTAGCTTCTTGTCCACAGTACAGGTTACATATCAGGATGATAAACTGCTGAGGCATACCCACTTCATTCAGTTCTCTCTCATAGAATTCCTCTTTGAATGAGTCTTTTCTCCTGTCTCTTCTATATATTCCTTTCACCTTCCCTTTATTTTTTTCCTGGTCAGGTAACCTATTCCTCTGCTGGTTGTACAGCATTCTTAATCTAGCTTTGAATTTTCCTTGGATCTTCTAGAATAGGTTTCTTTCCCACTGTTTGTTGCTCTCTTTTATTTCCAGTGGCCACCATAATAGTTCTTTCTGTCTCTACATGATAGTCTCTGAAAAGTTGCATGCAGGATTCAGAGGCTATTTCTGTCACCTTTGCTTTTGCTTCTGGCCTGTCCCTAGTAACCATGAGTGTTTCTTCCATCACGAAGATCATGATATGTTAATCAATATGTCTTGTTCTGGTGTGTTATCCGTTTCTTCTTAGATGCTTGCATAAAAGTTCTTTATTCAGCATCTGTTATTTAAGCGTAGACTTAGATGATGGCTATTTTGATCAGTTTTCTGGGAATTCTGATATTTGAAAAGATTCTGCATTATCTCCCCTTGCTTCCTGTCCTATAACTTGCCTCAGTAGCAGAGACACTATTTCTTCTGAGTTTGTCATTTGCAGAATATTGTGCTTGTCTGAAAGTATCCCATTCCAGCCCACTTTAGTTTGCTTATACCAAGTAGTATGATGTTTAACTATTCCATTTCTTGCCATACAATTTTGCTTTGCTTTGATTCATACTTCCCACATCCCACATTCCAATGCTATACGCTGTGCAGCATCAGACTTTCCTTTTGTCTCTCTGCATGTCAGCTACTAGACTTTCTTTCAGCTTTGATCTAGTTGCGCCATTAGTAACAGCACTATCTGTATTTCTCAGAAGCTCACTGACTGCCCTCTGACCTGTGAGTCACATTTTCTAACACTATCTCTTGTTTCATTTCAGATTGTTTCATCATAGGGTTTTTAAGGTAGGAAATATTCAGGAGTAGGTTCCCAATGATTACTTCTGTGTAGTGTTCACCAGAATTAGCTTTAATTTCACTGATGTTTTCTGTGGAAGCTCCTTCACAACTACCACCTTCAACTACCATGGCTGCCCAGTAGGTGTCCATCACTATAAGATATAGCCATTCTCTTCTGCTGATGTGACCATTGCCCCTGAATAGTTGGATGCATCTTAGTCTGGTGCTTTAGCTTTTCCATTCTACACTGGGTGACCCTGCTAGTGAGACAATCTGGCATCTTGGCTTCTCTGACATTCTTAGTTCCCCTCACCACATTAAGGTTTACGTCTAAGAGAGGGATCAGAAAACTGATGTTATGTAAATATGGTAAATTCTGTTACTCAGGGCATGGTTTAGGTTATAGAAAGAGAATGTTAAAGGCAAGAGGCTGAAATTTATGAATATTTTTTCCTAGGCAGATTTTTATACTAGGCTGTAGTTTTACTTATGTGTAAATTACAAAACAAAATGTGAGCTGTGGGAGGCCAGTTATCCCAACATGCAAGTTCAAGTTAATCAAACGGCATTTGCAAAACCATGTTTTTAATGGTTACACTACATCTTTTCTATCCACATGCATGGTGACATATTCAAAGAACTCTAAAATGCTGGGGAAGCAAGAATCTCTTTTTGGTACATTCCCCCTCTCACACAAAACATATAAATCCTCTTACAGTTCTTAGAGGATGTTGAGTTTGAGATGCACCTCCCAACACAGAAGAATGTTCTTCATCTATGGACTGGGCCCTTTTCTTCATGCTTTCACTTTACAAGCTGCAGTCAGCTGTTACAAGGGACAGGGCTTTTGCTTCAGGTGCCTTAAGGCAATGTAGTAAGTGCCCTGAAAAGGAATGCTGTTGTTCTTCACTTGTCTGGAAGGTTTTTGTTAGATGATTATTTTGTACTACTTTTAACTGTAGACAGTTTGGATTATTAGTTTGCTTTAATTCTGTGGAGTTTTCATTGTAATGTATTTAAATATTTTTTTCTAATTTTATGTAAGCATGGTGAAACTTACATGCTTACGGGGTGAATTTTGAAATATAATTTTAATTCTGACAACCTTGAAAAGCAACACAAAACATACATATTAGGCACTGAGTTCCCAAAGTGGAAAGACTCTCCTGTTTCCCATCACAATTGTGAATGAACGATTAACAATCTTAAAGGTATTTGTTGTTTAACCTAAAAGCTGAGATACTGCCATTCATCTTTATGATCTGATGCCCTGTAGCACATACAGGAAGAATCCATGTTCATGTCAGTCTAACTGGAAAGTATTGCCAATTCTCTTTTGCCTTTGGCAGGTAGAACCCTCTGTTCAGCTGTCACCCTTGTGAACACCATTCAATAAACATTTCAATACGACAGATTTCTTCCCACACTGACACATAACAAATCAACTAGGTAATGGATGGCAAAAGGCTGCCTGCACAGATGGCAGAACTGTGTAAAACAAAACACTGGTCCTGGAAAGCCAAAGCCTTACTCATTCAAATCACCTGGAGAAAAAAAACACAAAATTAAATGCCATCTCCACGGTATCATTTTTTTTAAACTATTGGATCAGAGTGTTGGCCCAGTTGACAAAGTATTATGTATTTAAATCAAGACATATTTACTTCCTACTAGGAACATCAAAAATTCTCCACCTGGTTTCAGGGAGACTGTAACTGCAGGAAATAATCTAAAATAGTGTCCTCTTCCAGTGATGGCCTACAAGAATGCCTGTGGTCAGCCTTTCTTCTCTGTAGCAAACAAGGCTCCGTTCTGTTTTAAATCCCAGATGTTTGCAAGAGCTCACTTAGGGTGCCCTCCAACGAGAGGAAATTCACTGCTGTTCCTACACATTCATCTCAGAAGCACTTACACATTTGAGGTAATGATGGCACCAAAGTCTGAGGGAGGCAGCAGTACAGGATATAAATCTGTCTAACCTGGTATGCTAAAGTGTTCTCCACCTTGTTTCCATTTATCCAGCCTGGAAATGATAATGACCGCAGAAGTAACAACAGCAGTAGCATGGGGGATCTGAGGACTTGACAGGGTCTATCTATGTCTCTATATCTTCATAATTGGAATGCTAGCTTCCTAGATCCCATGATCTTCTATGGTTCCCTGGTTGTTGGCATGCAGGCATTCTGTGTACTAAGCAAAAAAGCTGCTTAGGCTTCCAAGTGTCTCTTAAGCCTCTCTGTTGTTTGAGCTATAGCTAACACCATGTCAGGCAACTAAAGAGGAAAGGAGATGACAGGGTCGGTGACAAGAGTTCACTGGAAGGGGGGGAGGTTATTGGAAACCTCATTTTCAATAGCAGTAGTGATTCCTGGATTTGAACTGGCAATGACATTTTTCTGATCATTCAAAAAAAAAATTAATGAGTTTCTCAAGCCCAAGCTCAAGTCAAGACATCACATTCACTTGTGTATGCCATGTCTCCAGAAAGGACCAGTATTTCCTCAGCAGGAATAGATTTATTGAAAAAAGATTCTAGGGATGTGAAGATCAAGCCAGAATCTAACTATCTTGCACCTGTGGGATTTCTTTCCAGCACTCGGCTTTGGCCAGGAACCAAGCTAAACTGATATCAAGTCTGTGAGCCCTCACTAATAGCATCTTTGTGCAAAGTACGTAATTCCTTGCTCTAATACACAAAGCACATAATACTTCAGACAAAATATATAAATTACATATATCTTTGAGCAATGTATGCAAAGGCTGAAAGTTGCATGTGCAGAAGCAGAATTCTATTCAAACTCCTTTTTTGCTGAATGCCCACGCAAATGCTCAGTGTGAGGCAGACTTGCGCAGAAAGGTGGGCTGGAGACTAGAGAGTCAAGCTGAGGAATTCTGACAGATTCCCATCCCACAAACTGAATTCCTTGCACATCCCTAAAGACTCTAAGGTTTTTTTTTTAAGGGAAAATTGTCAAATTAGTATAAGCAGGTTATGGCTGTAGGATCAGAAAGTCAAAAGGAAAGAAAACTCTTGCCTCAAAAGACAGGTATCTACCTGGCTCACCTCCACCAATGAGCCTATGCAATCTAGAGTGTGCCATAAGCAGAGTGCTATTAAGAATGCCTTTAAATGGCTGAAATGAAACAAAAACTTCAGAAACTGTGCAAACAGCAAAACAAGAAAATCCACAGTTTAGACAAATGACTGGGAGAGAAGAAATACAAAGCTTCCAAACTCTTTTCTGCCAACAGCTTCTTACTGCTTCCTTTTGCAGAGGATACAGAATGGCTGATTAGTAAACCATGGGGGTGGGAGATGGCACTATTATTTGACTGCATGAAATTTAGCTCAGGTACTGTAAAGCAGAGTTGCAGAGAAAACACTGACTCCTATTTTTTAGAAATTGTGAAGATTATTTTTAAAGTAAGAATGGAGCGCAATAGGGCTTATTTTCTAAATACATTGTAACAAAAATGGGAATTGAGTTATGTACAGCCCATTATCAACTCTATAGTTTTCTTTCTTCACATGTCCAGTTCCCAGTAATAGCTGCATTTTATGTGGATAGTCTTGGCAGTTTTCCCTTTAGAAGCCACCTTGAGAAAATGACATCTCTCAGCAGAAGAACCCTTTGATAATTAAATAACAAGCTCTCTTTCAAATTACTTAATGAAATACTTACCTGAAGGTAGCTTGCCAGATTATTAGCAGTTTTGTATGCTAATTTAAAGATGGAACTTTTTCCACAATGTGGTTTTAATGAAGGTGATGCTTTATAAAAATGAAAGTACCTGCCCACACTGTAACCATGCTTTGCTAATGTCATTGACAGCCCATGAGTCACAGCTGTGCATGACCTGTGCTCTCATTAATTACAATGGGATCATCTAAATGCTGAAATAATACATCATAGATGCTTGATGCACAAGCCTGGAATTCTGTGGCATGACTGGAATGGGGTTCCAGGAGGGCTAAGCAAACATACCATCTTGGTCAGCTGTGTCCAGGGGCACTGACTTCAGCGTGAAGATCTTCCGCAGTTTACAGTTAGCAGAAATAACGATGCCATCCAATGACTGGAAAACAGCTCCTTTGAATATCCCACTAGTGAAAGCTACCAAGTCAATGCATAGATTACACCACTAGGAAAAAATAGAACAAGTTTAGTCAAACAGGTTTAGCCCTACGATTACATGGGCTGATAGACCTGCATCAGGCAACACAGCAGGAAGAGTCGTGAACTGCGTCACTACCACTGCTGCCCTGCCCAGAGAGCCCATCGGTGTCTACCTGCCACCTCCAGCACACGCGCTAGAAAGCACTGCCAGCAACTCCTGCACTGTGGCATTTGCTGCAGAAGGTAAGCAACTGGCAAGGCTCTCTCAAAGCAACCTGCTGGGTGCACTGCCAGCTGTTACCACTTTTTCTTACTGAAAGTGGTGGTGGTAGCCTGCATTTCCTATCTCCCCACCTGCATGGGAGGTTGGCGGCTCTCACTTGCCTGGCCAACTGGAATTCCCCAAGCTGCGGTGCAAGGTGAGAGTGGGAGAGCCCACACAAGGTAGAAGCAGGAGCATGGGCAGAAATGAATGGTCACGTAAGGAGGTGGTAGCAATAGCTTCATTGCTTTGCTTGAGAAGGCAAACTACGTTGGCATCTTTTTACAGAATTTCAGTATTAACATTTGGAATTAAACAAAATTCAAATGCAACCCTCATAGTTTCCTCTAGGAATTATACTTCTATAACATCAAGGAACTCTGCTAGCCATTTGAATTCTCATTTTGCTTTCTTTGAAGTGTTTCACCTTTAGAGGACTTGCCACTTCCAAATTTGCTTTAAGCGACAGCATATTAGATTAAAAGAAAGAAATCAATGACTGCAATAGAAATAGCAGCTGGAAAACACATGTTCAGGAACAACTCATCCAGGTTCTGTATATGGAAAGAATGGCAATCTAGTAAAGCCCTGTGTTTAGTTAAGTCTCCTATATTTCTAGTTCCTGGCAAGTCACAAAACAGGAATTGTACCAAACACTTGGAAGGCTATACTGCATTAATGTTTGCACCACATACAGCCTGAGGCTACCAGGCAGCTCTGCCATAACAAGGTAGAAGAAAAAGCTGTTAAAAAGGGATGGTATTTCAATGCTACCATAGAAACTGGCTTGAATAGGTTACAACATTGTTATTAAAAGAAATAGCCAAGTACTATGACCACAGGCAGAGAGAAGTCCTGGCACAAGTGGAGCTTGTAAAAATTTGTCTTCATGAGTGTTAGTGAGGCTCAACTCCATACATGTTTTGCTAAAGCACAACCCTGAAGTCAAGCAGCCACAGAATTAGCCTATAGTTGCCATCAATCTGAAATTTTAACATGGTTTTTATACTTGAAATCAATGAATCATGCTTCCACATTAACTGCGTTCAGGATTGAGAAACCTGGGGGTAATGATGTTAACCGTAAACTTAATAGAGGGACAATCAGCACAACCAATTCTGTAGTTGCTTTCCACTCTTCTCCTCCCTCTTCCTGCTTGTTTTCTTCTCCTCTGCCTCGATCCTATACTTAATGCAATTCCCTTTGCACCACCTGGTTGATCAACTCTGATGTCACAACACACCTGTCTAAGCAAGGGAATCATGATGGTGGCACATGTGGCCTCAAGCCATAAAAGAGCAGGTAACCTTTGCCCAGACTACTGAATATGCATGATTTCACTGTATCATTCCAAGGATGATGGGTATCCCTTATGACATCAAACTCAGTTTGTCTATAGCAGTGCACAATGAACTTTCCAGTAACACATCATCTGATCTTTGTCAACAAGAGACAAAGGAACATTTGTTTCTTACAAGGAAGGATGGTCGAATTGTCTGTATAATGTATATATTTTTATGCAGGTATGTGTTTATTTGTGAGTTCTTCCCTGTGGGACAACTTGCCTACTCATATTGGGAATTATCAGGTTTGAAGCCTCAGACATGATGGCAAGAATACTGAATTCTGAAAAGAATCAGAAAAAATAGGATTTGGTTTGAGGTGTCAAATTCTGCTTCCCTAGAATTTCAGGGTTTTTTTCCCTTAAGCATGTCAAAGCAGCCACATGATCTGACAACAAACCATTGACTTCAAAGGGTATGGGCAAGGCTTGGTGAACTCTTTAGAGCAACAGAAGAGTTTCTCTTGAGGGACCTCACGGCATCATTCCTTATTCTTGTTCCATGACTAACTGAAGAAATTGTTCCTAACAAACAAATATATACCAATTCGCTTTAGTTGCTTAATTTATACAAGCTGGACAATTAGGCTCTTCTTTGGACAGAATCTGGATTTTATGTTGTTTTTGTACCTTGGACTTTCTGGAGAATTCACTGCTCTGGAGATAGTTTTAGAATGCAAGTCAGGGTATATGTAAAGAGATAGCAAGCAGGGGAATCGCTAGTATTCTAAACAATTCAGACTTCGGAGATGAAGGAGAGATACATATCAGACACACATCCATATATTATCTGTCATTAGAAAATAATATGTGCATAAATGTTACTTGCTGGGTGTTGACATATGTGTATTTATAACAGAGGTAGAAATTTAAGAATCAATATATAGTCACACTTGGAGCTTTTTACAAATTTTGAGGGCAGGTTTAACATTCATTCTGAAAAGGAAACATTAATATGTTCTTCTGACAACTTCTCTGACAAAGTGATGGCCAGTGCAGGCCAATAAGGAAACGAACTAGATCAAAACAGTGGTTGTTTCCAGAAGTTAGGGATGGAATTCCAAAATGTGCACATGGAATGTAATAAATAGAGATGATACATAGTGAATGAAATATTAACCAGGATGTTTAAATTCCATAAATAGAAACTTTAAATAAATAAAATAAAAATGATCCTGAGAATTCCTTTTCAAATGACAAAAAAAGTACACAAACAAAAAGTCCTTATCTGAGATTTAGGCTTAGCATTACACTAATACTAGTGTGGCTCAAAAGCCGGTGAAGCAACATCTCATACTACATGGAGATGTAGTCTTGTCTTGTAGAGGGATCACCTCCTCTATTTCATATGATTCCCACTTCTGGCATGAAGAACTGAGGAAGGCAGGATTGTACCTGAATCTTTGGAAGGCTCTCATCCACTCTAGCACTCATCCTTGCTTCAAATTCACTTTTTCTCTATCCTGAATATGGTAAACAGGATTCATGGTAACACTTCTTGTTCAAATGCTTGATTATACCTTTATTTCACAGAAATATCTATGGAATACTTAGCATACACATACATGTACACTATTAATTCCATATCACCACTGTGCAGCGAACCAGTCAACATCTTATATTCAAGGGCATGTCAGTTTTATTTTCTTAGCACATACACTTAAATCAAGGGCTGGGAGAGGTGTGTGTGTGGAGGGGGGGTTGTGACCAACTTTAGCAGGTCCCTTCAGATATTTAAGTGTTATGAAAAAGTTAACACATACATTGACATTTTAAGCAAGGCAGGAAAGGTACCTACAATTTTGCGCTTGATCATAAAGAGAGGGATTTTTGCATGTAGAGGAGTTACAGACAATTCCTTGTGGATCGTTGATAAATACAATCTTCTTTTAATGTTTCTTAAATCAGTTATCCTGTAAAAGAAAGGTGAAAGTAGGGAGGGACAGAGATAGATCTCCATCAATTCAATAACTACTATCTCTGGGCAACCACAGAAAACTATCATTCATATGCAGAATCTTCATATTGAGGACAGCAAATGGAGAATTTAAGTATTACCCCTTATACAAGATAAGTAATGAGATTTCCCTCTCAAATTCAAAGTTAGTGGCTACAAGCCCAAATATATAAAATCACTTTACATGCTAATTTTATTTCAGTGCTCTGCACTCTCCACTAGATTTCCATAGCACTTCAACCTATGAAAGAATTCAATTTGTATGAACTGAGAAGCCACTAGCCTTTAATAATCATGATTCTTTCAGCCCCTTAAGCTTGTGTTATCTTGGGACATGCTGTCTCCCCACTAAAAAGGAAATCATTATAGGTTTTCTTTTTCTAAAAATGCACCTGCCATTTCATATGGGCTCTTTGTCCGCTAAAGATAGACACAGAACATAGTATGTCAGTTTCACTTCCTAAGCACATATCTCCAAACCTGCATTAATAACACACAGGGTTATTGCTAACTGTTCAGGTTGTTACTCCAGTGACACCTAGGACACAGGATCTGAACACCACTGATAGATTTAGACTCCAGTCACAATCAGCTTTGATTTAAATTGAACCAAAAGTCTTCTTTGTATGCTCTGCTTCCTTGTGGCTTCTAAGTATTCGCAAGCTGGCTTAATTTCTCTCCAGATTTCTCCCTACAGAAAATGGCTCACTATTACGATATATATCTTTAGACCTGGAAATTGATTCAGTTGTTATGTTATTGACCTGTTTCCATCAGACTGGCAATTCCTACTGTCCGCTTTCCTCTTTTTAAGGAAAAGATGTGAAGACATTTTTACAATTTTAAACTTGTGTTGAAAAATATAGCTTTCCCTCAATCATTCCCAACTTTTCTGATGTTCAGGATTTAGGTGTCATTACTTAGGCAAAATGGAGCACCCATACACCATGAGAGGAACATCAAGGTCTGCAGAGGTAAATTATATATTTAGTAAAATAACCTTGGGGCGGGTAAAAGAGCTCAATGAGGCCTGAACATGTTCAGTGGACACAAAATGTTGACTAACCAATGGAGGACAGGAACCACAAACTTCAGTGGGGAGAGGGGAAATGGAATGGGTAGAATCCTGAACAGCAGCGTTTAGTATAGCAACATTCTTTGCAAGTTCCACTTGTCTATTAAAAACAATTTAGGTCAGCTCTAACAGAAGGTCTGACAGAAGATCTGAATGTATGAGGAAAAGACCAGGTCCTTCCAAATTCGAAGCTATCATGTGGGAACTGTACATTGGCACTGGAATGACACCCACCCCCTCAGTGGGGTGAAAAACTACTTTCTGTGTACAAGAGGAAATTCTAATTTTGCTATAGGGATGACAACTGTCAAACATACTGCATTAAGGTAAAGGTGCTTGAACTTCCCGATAACCTTTCAGAGTGGGCCTAGGGATGTGCAAGGAATCTATTGGGGGTTGGGAATTTGTCAGATTCTTTGGACTCTGCTCCATGGACTCCTGTCTACCTTGAAGCAGCCTTGAGTCCAAATTCCTGGTGAGCGTTCCGAGCACTTGCAGTTCACTTGCCAGGAATCAAACCCCACATGCTGTGCAGGCAACAACCCTCTTCCATGCCCAAGGCTGTCCCTGTCACTTGCACTGAACAGGGAAAGAAGGTTGGTCACTTGTATCCCCAGGAAAGACATCTGCCACAGCCACTAACAGAACCCCTCTCCTGTGCCCAGTGCTGCCACTGCCTGCTGCATCAGGCAGGGGAGAAGGCTGACTGCAGCTCTGAACTTGTTCCAAGTCCCTCTGATTTACAAAGGACTACAGTGGCTCCCCATCAGAACATGAAGGCATCTGTGGTCACTGTGAAAGCTGGCTCAGGAAAGGCAAAGGGAATTTCCTTGATGAGTTTGAACTGATACATTCACCACTGAGGCTCATCTAGAAGGATTCTGGGATCTGAAGTCAGGTCCTTCAAAGGCTGACTGTGGGGTGGAATGCGCAGATGAACCACAGCTATAGGAGACACATCTGGAGCCCAGCTAATGGGACAACTGCAACTGTTGCTGCAATGAAAGCAAGGAGCTGTTGGATTTGGGAAGTGGTGGCAACAGGGTGCCTGTGCAAGCTGTTGACTATCTTGATCAGAACCAACACTCCGGGAGGTATGCTTTAGCTGAAATGTAGTCACGACTGAGGCTGTGGCAGGAGGAATGGATTCCGGTTGAAGTGATGTATCCTGGATTTCTTCTTCCAATGCTGATGTTGTCAAGACCAGTTCTTATCTTGCTACTACAGGATTCACACACAGTCAGTTCCAATGGTGGTGGGCAAGTTAAATCAGTGTGGTGAATCTTCCAGTGCAGCTTGTGGCCTTTGGATCTAGCTGCTTTCACCAATATGGTCCCTTTGGCCCTTTCAGCCAACTTCTTGACCTTGGACACTTCCTGGCAATGGTGGTGCAGTCTGGCCCATAGTTAGAGCCATGGCCACAGCAGGCAGTGTGGGAATTCATTGCTGGGTTATGCTGTACTCACGTACGCCACGAAGACCAAGAGTATTGTAATTTACCTATGTAACCATATAAGGCTTGTAACCATATAAGGCTTGTAACCTAAGCATTAAGGTGTTGGCTGCTTTTACTCGAAGGCCAATTGGCAGTATGCAAATACCTTTGTAAAACTGTGAAGTAATAAAAGCAGATGCCGGTGGTGACGGGGGAGGAAGAAGAAAAAACTTTGGGAGAAGAAGTTCTTTGTTGTTCTCCCCCTGCAACTAAACCGAGCATGCTTTGTAACCGATTTCTGGACTGCAGTCTTTCTTTCTTTCTTTAAACTTTTTCGCGCCGTTTGTCCAGGCTGACTGGCTGGCCGGTCAGCCCGCGACAGGCAGAGTGGGAGGGGTGCTGGGGTCTTTGAGGCAGGCAAGTACTCAACAAGTTTTAAAGAGTCTACCACCCACAGGACCTTGCTTCACAGCTCTGTTTGTAAGCAGTTCTCTCTGTTTCTTTGTGCCTGCTTGATGAAGGCCTGATAATGAGTAGGAATCCATGATGTGGCTTTTTCTCAGGCAAAGTTGGCAGGGGGAGTTTCCATCAGTTGGTGGGAGTTTGCACCCACAAGAGATGCATTTTCTAAAGACATCCTGAGTGCCATCGGACAAGAAGGGTGATTTAGAAAGGAACAAAAAGGGAACTCTGAGGAGAAAGGATTTTTTTCTTTTTGTAAAAGAACAGTGAGGTAGGGGGGAAAATCACAAGGAAAGATGAAAAACGGAGTAATGAGTTGCTAGAAAGAATAAAGAAGTGAGATATAAGGAAAAGCTGTGACTTACAAGAAGAAACAGACCTTCCTGAGGCATCACAATGGCAGTCAAAGAAAAACTGAGGGAATGGACAGGAACTCCTTTTATATAGTGACACTGAGAATGGGGTAGGGTTCCTGCCAAAGCTCTGTCAGCTGTAGAATCTTCCTGATAACAGGTTCCACACAGGCACAGAGTCCACGAGTGTGCTGCACAGAGCCCATGAAAAAGAACCTTGGATCTGAAAGTTGGAGTATAAATTAAATAACGTATCAGTCACCTGATTATTTATGTAGTTCCAAGACCTTAAGGTTTTAAATATATGCACAAGTTATTAAATCCAGGAGTGCACTTTTCATATCCAAAGAGATCACATCTCTGATTATCAAATGGTGGGATTTAAATATAAGTATGTGGTATTACCACAGTAGTCCATTTCCTTATGACATCTAGTCCTTCACTCCCATACTCCAGATAAGGTAAGGGGTGTGTGTGTGTGTTCATGCATGTGTGAGCAGTGGGTTTGATAAACTGACCATTGTTCCAGATTGCTTAATCAGATCCCTAACCTAAAATGCAATAGGGAGGCTATGAAACACAAGCACAGTAAGGCGCTGGTGATGCCTCTACCCTACTGAACTTAGTATGCCTTAGGTCATCCAAAATAGGTCATCCAAAATAGCACTGGAGGTTCCAACTAGTCACAACATAGTTAATATTTTGCATTCTTTGAAATATACCAACTCTTGTATAACTTCTCTTCCTTCTCCTCTTGAAAATCAGGTTGATGGTGGGGCTTTCTTAGATGCTCAGTTGACAGATAACAAATAAAAGAGAAAGGGTGTAAAAATACATCTGTCCTATAAATGATTACTCATGTAAGCCTTATTGAATCATACTCTTGAGTAACTATGTATAAGACAGAAGCTTTGGAAAGATGAAAACACAGTCCTGGCTAGCAAGTGCCATTTAATTTGCAGCGCACACTTAACTGAAGTTTCAAGAACACCATTAACTACAGCTTTTAACCCTTCAGAAAACTGCATTTAAGGACAGCCACTTGTGATTCTAGGAGTCCTTTTATTAAGATCACAATGTCAAAGAATTGTCTTATCTAGAGAGATGATACAGGATTTTTGTATTTACCAAAATCATAAATCTACAGCTTACATATTGCATGCCATATGCTAGTGATGAAGTGTCACCTAGGGAACTGTAAGACTTTGATATCATGGATTTCTTTCGGATTTCTTTTATCTTCCATTTTAAAATCTGAAGCAATATTTGCATTTCATGATATAAGAACAATGAAGATGCAGATATATAGTAGTTGCAAGCAAAACACGTCTTTTAAGCTTTGAAAAGAATCATTTACAATGAGCATTGACCTTGAAGAGTAAAGCATCTTACCCAGTGACTTTTCTGAGCTGGGAGCAAAACAGAGCAGAGCAGAGCAGTCAGGACCACTGCCATTGTCTTTCTCAGGAGAGAGGCTGAATTCTATGAGAAGTGATGTTAGATTATGTGAGGACAGGTAGAATGTCCTCTAGGTCTTTAGCTTCCTCTCATATTTAAAACATTTCTTTCTAACTGCTGATATATGAATTATTTTCACGGAATATGAATGCTTTAACTATTAGATCTTTTTT